ATATAATATAATAATTATTAGAATGTTTTTATTATCATTGTTATTGACATCTTGAATGACTGTACCAGGTTAACTTTGCTCAGAAAGTGACATAGGTAAATTTGGATATAATGAAATTTGTGAATAATTTGTTGGTATGTGAACTGATTTTCTTTCATTAATTAATATATGACTTAACTCTGAATCATTTAAATTTGTTTTCTCATCAATAGTATAACCACTTAATTGTGCATAATTCCTCATTTGTTTGAAAAATAATTAAACCATATTGATTATGTGGGTGTGGGTGTGGGTGTTGATGGATATAAGAGCTAAACCCATATCCACCCACATTTACACACCCACACCCACACCCCGCAAATATCAAAAGTGCTACTGAAAATAATGGTTTTGGTGTTCGATTTGGATGTTATTGTCATAATATCAATTTGATAATTTCTCAAGGCTTTGGTTTATTGGAAAAAAAATCGGTATTAAGAAAGTCAGTATCAACTTTTCGTATTGTATTTCGTATGTGTTCTATTATATTTCAATTTTTTTCTTCAAGAATGTGGTTGAATGAAACAAAATCACCTGATGAAGAAGAAGAACCAATGATCTATTCAGATGAGATTCAGATTACTGAAGATATGGCTGAATCGGATACACTAAATACAAATGTCTTATTAGAGGAAGATGCAACATCAGAAGAAGAATCAGTTGTTGAAGATTCTAGTGATGAAGAAAACTTTAGTAGTGAAGAACAGGAACAATAACAAGCTCATGAAAAATTAAATGATATTGTTGATGAACAAATATTTGAAGATACAATTACAGATGATACTCCTCCTGGTAAAATAATATTTGGTATGCATTTGTTATTATGTCATATTCGTTGTTTAATCATTTTAATTCGGAAATGTTATTTAATCAATGAATATGTTCGTAGACAAGCAAAAGCTGATAAAACTATACACAGTGGTGAACTTGTAGTTGATTTCCATATTAGATGGAATACAACTTGTGTTATGTTAACAAAATTCATCGAACATCGTCGTATAATTGTTGATATTACCGATACTCCAGAAAAAATTACGAATCTAAAAAGATCCAAATGTGATCGTCTAATATCATTAACATTACGTCCTCAACATTGGAAATGGATAATTACTTTGAAAAAAAATACTTGATCCATTTCACAGTGCTACACATGCCTTATCTGCCCGTAATTATGCAACGATTGCTCCCGGGAAAGTAATTGTTTTTGCATTGAAAAATTTTTTATCAACTCGAAATGTATGTCATCATTTGGAAAATATTTTAAAGAGTCAAATCTTAAAAAAATATACACTGTATTTCGATGTCAAAGTCACATAAGAACAAAGTCGTTTAGCATTAGTATATTGAATCTTGTGTTTTTTATTTGATTTAATTATTTGTCTCACTATGTCAGGTTGCTGCCTTTTTATGTCCATATGGAAAACAATATTTGACTGTATCTGATTTGAAAAAAGCTGAAACTACACTTATTCAAGAATATAATGAAATTCTTGGATCTGAAAAACTTATATCATCAGCAACAACAAATAATATTACAGTCTCGTCAAGTAATGCTGAACAATCCATGGAATCATCCAAAGGTCATATGGAAAAATCAATCGATTATTTATTAAAAATTTGCTTAGTAGAAAAACCACAAACAAAAGAACTGTATGGACTATACAGTAAGAATTAGGTTATTATGCGACGACAGGAATTCCAAAACGAAATTTTCAATCGTACTGGAACTTGAATCAAGATAAAATGCCTATATTAGCTTCATTGGTTCGTCGATTTTGTTTATCACCTGCAACAAGCGTCGCCAGTGAATCATCATTTAGCTGTGCTAATTATATACAGAGAAAACAACGATCTTCTCTATCGTCCACTAATCTTTGCTATACAATGGTATTACGAGATGCTGATGTGGTTAAAAGATTAAGTCAGATATATTGAACATTTTTTTTATTTATCAAAAAGGATGAAAGTTTTTTAGATATGTAGCTCGTCAGATTTCTTGATATACACATTTTTAAAGCTACATTTTTATTATTTTTTATTTTAAGAAAGATATTGAAATAAACTTTGGATTCTTGTTTATCAAAAACATGAACTTCATTTATTTTAATTAGCTAATCAAAAAGAAAATGCATACAATATAGTTTTTGCATAACAGCTGGTTTAGGTTAACAAAAGGTCTTACACTATAGGGATCGACTATAATAAAGCATGTGTCCTTTGTTATTTAATGATTCAACTTATACGACAAACTTACATATTTTTAAAATTCGAAAACTGTAATCCTAGTACGCACTGACATGGTTCAAGGTTATTAATAATGGTAATTGCATAAATTATGAAAGAAAAACACGAGTGTTTTCTCCGTTTAAATTAACAAGATCTCATTACCAGGTTAAGTTAACTTTCTACGCCTTGGTGAAGCATTATTTTAATCAAACTTGTGCTGCATAATCCAAAAACTATACTTCTTCCATCTATAATGTATAACTATTTAGATCAATTTATGTGGAAAAATGAAATCTAACGGTGTCGTAATGCTTTAATGAGGAAATGAAAATCTAATCGATGATCAGAAATAATTCTACTATCCTATTTATTATTACTTATTACTTCTCTATTACTTTATTACTTTTTTGTATGGTTATTACTATTACTAGTAATTAGTAATAACAGTTATTACTTTTATTACATTATTACCAATATTTCTTTATTACTTTTATTACTTTTCAAAATTATTACTTATTACTAGTAATAGTAAAGTGCCACCCCTAGTCAGAATCATGTTATGTGATGCCTGTATGACGTCAATTACACACGATCGTCTGGGGACTTCCCCATCTATGATATCGGCTGGGATTTTTTTTTCGTTCTTATATCTATAATTGCTACATATTTTTTCCCCTGGGATTTTTCTCAGTAACATAATTCTTGCTTCCAATGTTCGTCCTATGTATATAAACGTAGTTTGGTTGCTCGATATTTGTCTATTTTAGCTTATTCATCTTATGTAAAAAAAGGTTTACCTTACAAGCAGTATATTATCTCAAAACGAGTCTCAACCACTTACTCTATCTTAAGAAACATGAAGCTCTTTTCAGCAACAATGTTGATGATGTTTTTGGTATTGATGGTGGTAATATCGATGACTGGCAAGGCCGAAGCTGGATGTTGCTCAGTCTTTAACACCCAGTGTTGTTGTCGCAACAAAGATGGACATCAAGTGCGTGTCGGAAAGAATCCACTGAATGGCTTACAGTTTCATTTGGATGGAGGTAATTGTGGTGGATGTCAAATTGGCTGGAAATGTTGAAAACACACTTTTCTAGAAGAAAAAGTCTTAAGACTTCTTTTATGTATTTTTCCCACTTGCTTGAATAAAGAATTTCTTATAGAAATTAAAGTCTTATTGTTACATGCAGTTTTACCGATCCATAGATATTAAGCAAGCTTTGAAAAATCATTAAGCGTTTTTCTTAAGTAATTTTAGGCTACTAAAGTTTGCTGCGACACTAAATCTATGCATATGGTGGAATATTTTTGTTAAAAGAATATTTGTTTTAAAATACTAACAAAGTCTCGGAAAATCCATAATGGTACTGCTCACTACACACAATTCTTCGCATTTTCAAGAAAATCCACTGAATAGTTTTGTGAAACTCACGTACATTTCTGAAAAAAATAGTAAGTGTAAGTTTTTAGCCGGGGTTTTCGGGAAGCTCCCGTCCTCCCTTACAGACACTCTCCTTAGAGACTTTAGCACTCAAGGTCAAACGCCATGATGTGTGCTTTTATAGTAATGGGAGAGTTTAAAACGAAGATTTTCATATGAACTTTGCTAAGTACCAAGAGGAAGGAGAAGAAGGTAGTCAAGATCACGAGACGTCCTCCTTTATAACAAAGGGAAAGGAACTGATAGTCACTTGGTAGCTGTCTTTGAAGATACGTCAATTCCACATTTTGACCCCAAAGGGACTGCGCTGACAAGCTTTCTTATCTAAGTCGAATATGTTTTCTAAATAAATTCAATGAAAGTTAATTTATTTAATTGAAAGAAAAAAAAAAAAAAAGATGATTTGGAATATATTTCGATAGACGATAGTTACATATTCTATTCAGAAATTAAATTAATTGCGAAAAATTCTTCTAAAAGACGAGAAAGATTTCCGCAAATAAACACTCATTCTCATTGTCATTCCATTTTTGAAATTGATCGAAGGAAAACATCCAATAGAAATCGATTTAACTTTGGAAAAATCTCTCTTGTTTAAAGTTGATGGAAATATTTGAAATTTTTCAAAATAATCTTAATGACTATTAGAAATATCCATGTGCTTCGCTTCTTGGAATAAAATCTTTCATTTCATGTCTCAGTTTATTATCTAAACAATGAAATGTTTTTCCTAAACATTGAAAACATTGGCCAATAAATATCTTCAAAAACCTGCTCATTTGTTTCACAAATCATTTCACTTAGGGTTCAATCGAAAAAGATTCATTCCTTTAAGCTTGATTCAATCCGAAGAATTTCTGTTAAGATTTGATGGAGAAATCTTTCTCAGAAATGAATGAATATCTCATTGATCAATTGTAGTCAATAGAAGATTCTCGAAGATAAGTCAACTTTTGATAAGAATTATCAACATAAATGAATTGATTTGAAGAAATAATTAAAAGAGTTGACCATCAATGAAATTATCACAATTTACTTCAAAATCAATTCTTAACAAGTTCAACCGATTTCATAGATCGTTCTCACTGAATTCGAGAAACTTCGGAAGAGAAGATGACCAAATAAAATAAAGTGAAACTATTATTTCTAGTAAATGGAATTATTGAAAACTGGGTGTGGGTGTCGGTGTGGCTATGGGTGTGGGGTGGGTGAGGATGGATGCGTGTGGAGTGTCAGTATTTTTCTTCTAATCGTGACGCGCATTCCACACCCACACCCATACCCATACCCACACCCACACCCACACCCACACCCACACCCACACCCACACCCACACCCACACCCTCTCAGATTAGCACGATACATTTAGGGATAGATATACATTAAGGAGTTATATTAGAGGTTAGAATAAAGGGGTAGAACAAGAAAGTAGAATAAGGGGACAGATACAGATCAAAGAGGAAGAAACTGATTTCCGATTTCTTGATTTCTAGTGATTTCCATGATTTCTGACGATTTCGAGTTAGAGGAAGTCCGCTACCGTTCCGTTGCCAAATAACCGGTAACGAAAAGTTTGTGAATTTGATTTCTTTGTTAGGATAAGGCTATTTTCAAAAAATAACGATTTTCTATAAAGTTTGGCCAAAGATCATGGGGGTCCAGGAATTCGAATCTGTGACTCGCTTTTCAAAATTTAACAGCTTGATTTTTTCGGCCACTGAAGGCCTATTTTGCAGAAATGCGGATATTCCCATAGAGCTGGCAAAACTATGAGAAATTGCTTCACCCTGACAAAAAAATCGGAACTCGAAAATTTTTCGAAATCACTTATAGATATGGATTGCTCGACTCCGATAGCTTCCGATCAAACTTTATACGAAAATCATCATTTTCGGAAAATACTCTTGTCCTAACGAAAAAATCAATCTCACAAATTTTTCCTTCTCAGGTAACAGTGATTTCTTACCCCTATTATGGATATCAAAATTCTGACAAGCTGAGATATGCACACAATAGCAATGATCTCTATTAATTTCTGTTGATTTCAAATTGATTTCTGGCATTAGAAATCAGTTTGTTTCCCCTTGATATCGATGAAGAAGTTAGATTAGCAGTTAGAATAAGGGGATAGATATAGGTTAACGACTTGGATTAGAAATTAGAACAACAGAGTAGAGTGAGGCCTCAGATGAAGAGGTTAAAATAAGCAATGGAATAAGAGATTAGAATAAGGGGATAGATTAAGGGGTTAGAATAGGGGATTAACATGAGGGATTAGAATAAGGGGACAGATGAAGGGATTATAATAAGGGGTTAGATTA